ACGATTTATTGCTCCGAATTGTCGACGCTTCACTCATATCATTTTTCTGTATTTGTACCCATTTAATTGCCACTGTGCTACATTCACTACTTCTGCCGGTGAGATTTTTATGCGATCTATGCATCAGTTTTATTGGGATGATTCCAGTTTCCAGATCGAGACATCTGAGAAGATATTCCTTGAATTGTGGTGCTGAGGATTTAAGCCGGATTACTTGTTGTATTTGTTTCATTCATGAGAAATCTATCTTACTGCAGCCCTGTAATCACATTTGTGTATGTGCTTATTGTGTTGAGGAATTGTTGGAGACCTACGAGGAACCATTATGTCCGCTGTGTCGCTCCGTCATTACATCATATGTTGATGTCTATATTTAGGTGTAGAATAAACACTGGAATGGGACTGGAACTATTAACACTGGAATGGGACTGGAACTATTCTGTGGGAGGTGGCGACTACTGTTTGGGAAATCAATTAGAGGACTGAAATGTAGTAAATAATACGCAATGCACGAATGTGGCGCGAGTAATGGTTGCGCAGTGATGACGCATTGTCATCATATCAAAAATGTATAGCTTGTGAAATCAGAGATGGTTCCTTTTGATCTCTTCGTTCGTTGTTCATGTTTTGAGTTTGATTTCTAAAGTTCCTAAACTGAATTCCCTGTATCCGTCACCTACCTCAATTTTTGCAGATTTGTCTACTGGTAATGTAAATCTGTATTCATGTTGCGTAATCGATTATAGGCAACGTTTATTGGCGCTGTTGTCTGAATAAACATTTTGGCGAGCGGAAATTAAGGAATCTTGAAATCCGTAAAGAACTGTAGATAATAATGCAATTTGAAAGTATGGATTAAGAGTGCCTGTGTGCGTTGCAAGCAATATCTTACAGTATTCAGAACTGATTACTAGCTTTGTCCATCATTCGACATGGCTGTGATAGAAACTATTTCCATTGTATTTTGTAATATTAAGGAGTTATCGTTTTTGCTTTTGAATTTGTTGCGTAAATTTCATTGGAACAACTCAGGGCTTATTTTTCATATGTTATCATGTCTTTTATTAAATTGGAAAAAAGTGGCATTTGTATGACAAATGTATTGTAAATATAATCCTGATAGATTTTATTTAATATTCCTTTCAACATCAGGCACTTTTCTACTACATCTAAAAAACAATTAAGGAAGCTACCAGAAGGGCTTTACAGCTTTTATGGAATTTGAAATATTGACTAATTTTAATATCGAAATCACATTCGCCATTCCATGCATTGCTTTCTGATAGCTTAGATAATGCGAAGTTCTGTACCTCATCAAAGCTATAGCTTTTTTCGCCTAATTGCATTGCATTCGCTGCTGAGGAGTTCTTTCTTTCTGGAAAAGGTAGATAGCTAAGCAAAAAATGCTGTGGTGTTGAGTGTTAAGAATTTACTTCAGGAAAGATTGAAAATTATAAAAAATGTGGGTTAATAACTATCCAGTACAAGTGTATGGTTCGAAGAATCAAAACATTATGGAAGGGAACAGAATGTTGCAAAAATGCAATACACGTGTTAGCGCAATCTTGAAATAGTGATTTTTCTGGTGTATAGCATTTTGGAAGGTGTTTGGCTGTTGAAATAAACTATATCATTCGAAGTAAATTGATGTGGACTGAGTAGACGGTGAAGTGATTAACAATAAACTAGAACCGAAGAAGCAGTAAAGTAGAAAGAAAACATGAACTTAAGATCAAATTCGCTTAAATCTCTGGGCGCTGCTTACGAATCGCCATTTTGTATTGAGTTTTTATAGCTATAATTCATTGTTGCTGATATCGATTTCGTTAGATTGTTTTGCAGCTTTGTTTCGTTTGAAGATTTAGTATTATTGGAACTAATTAAGCCAAACAGGCGGCGACAAGTTTGCTTCTTACGGAAAGTTGTGGAAGGTGACCTATATGATCTTTTTTCCCAGGCGATTAGGTGTATACAGTCATAGCGAACGACATCTTCAAAAACACTTCTACAAAACATGAAGTTGTCTAATTTGATTATTTCAAAATACTCATATAATTTTTTGCGGATCTTAATAAAGTGGCATTGATCCAGGGTGTTCAGTGTTTTCCGATGATTTCAGTGGATGGGGAAGCAAAGTATATTTACCGGTTAAGCTCATCATTGAATCCGCAGTGCCCACTCTGAAACCGTTGTTTAAAAATTCTCTGCACTATTCGCATGGAATAGGATTTTTCCCAATATTTGGCCCATAGGCTCTTTTTCAAAAACTGAGTTGCCATAATTTCTGTGGTGATAATGATTTTGTTTAACTTTTGTTATTATCTTTTCAGGAGCTTAAAAATAATGAAAGCACTGTCGCTTGTTCGAATAACATTGCACAAATGCCAACTGGTGGATGACGCATTTGAAAGCAAAATGTCTTGTTATTACTGATTTTAGTTAGCACTTTGTACTCTTCATAAATTTGCATTTATCGTTTGACCATGATTCCACTGTTGGTAATTCCATAAGCTGGAAAATACGGAAAAAATTTTTTGGTCGGAGGAATCTTTCAATTGATAAGAAGGGCTTAGATCAAATTTAATTTCGCATGCGATATTTGAGAGGGATAAATGTATAATTAGTTTCTCATTTAGAAATACATTTTCCTCTTTCAGTTAGCTAACACAATCGATGTAAACCATAAGTTATCATATCATATCTGATCTGAAACTTCAAAAGAAGTCAAGTATCAAAGGATTTTTCGATTTATTGAAAGATAAAAAAGAGTTACAAAAAGTAGAAAGCCTTAGTCCTCAATCAAGCAATTTAAAATCAAAACTTGCTGTCTATGATCTTTGCTGAATTTCACTATTTCTGGATCCCCATATTCCGTCATGTTTTTGCTGTACGAATTTCCTCAAAGCAGCTGATCAATTGTGAACTGATTGTATTATGAATCAGGACTGATATTGTCTCCTTCTTAATACTGTTTTAATTTTCCATAACACAATATTTATTCATACTTCTTTTATCACATAAAGGTACCAGCTGAAACCATTGAAAAATTTTGCATATTTTGAATCATTCTTACTTCAAAATAAACAAAGCCTTTCAGTTATAATTCAATCATTTTCAGTTTGTATTCCAAAGTAAGCTGTGGATGAGGTATGGAAAGTTGCACGAAAAGCAAAGATAGGATGAATGAAGAACACGAGTTTAACGAAACTAAAGAAATTGAGAGGTGAAGGACTTTGAACTTTCAATTGCGCCCATCCTCTTTGTACATTTCCCTTTTCTTCCTCGTATTCATTCCCGCTTCCTTTATATTGCACTAGCATTACCTTTATTTTTAACATCGATGTTAATGTTAATTAACAATCTCTCATCTTTAGGTTATACCATGAACTGAGTACACCGAGAAGTCGATCGAGGCTATGCTTCTTGTTGTATTTATTCATCATTCCGTTCTTTATTATTATCGGTGGTGTTACCTTCTCTGTAAGTAATCCCGTCATATATAGTAGCACTTTGCTTATTTCATCAAAAACAATCTAGAAACATTATCAACAGCAACTTCCGGCTCTCAATTTGCTCCAGCAGTTGTCGAAATATAAGCTGTTAGTAGTTTTTGTGGTTTATTTTTAAGTAATGAAGCTGCCAGTAGGAAAAAATTCTTACCACGAAGAAGTAAGGAGTTAGCATTTATTTCAACTGAACCGGAACATTTTAAGTTCTCAGAATTAACTGCATCTCAAGAAGCAGAAAGAGGAAATGCTCAAGTATGCGTAGCAGAAAGAAAAATATTGATGAAAAGCCTAAAAGCATCACTAGAAAATAATTTTTCAACGAATTCGAATACATTGCAAAATCTGACGAATTTGTGGCAATCAATTCAGAATACTGTTATCGAAGTCTGATTATATGCATATTTTTTAATTATCGTTAAAAATTACTGTTTGTTGCAAAACCATTCATCATGTTAATTGAAATGTAATTTCTAAAAACGATATGATACGCTTCGATACAACCAGTTACTTATAAAGATGAAGTTTTATGTATGCTCCCTAAAATGGCTTGGACTTCTCACGAACTTTTTCTTCAGATTTCTTTTTTTTTTAGATTGAAAGCTGCCATCGGAAAAGATTGTTCGAATTGCTGCCAGTAGAAACATTTGTTTTCAGAAATGCTATGTTGTACTCGTTTGGTGTCTATACAACGATCGGTTATGGAAATCTAGTAATTTTTAACAAATCTAAGAGGGAAGGAAGGATGATGAATAAATGTAACAGAAACAAAAAGTTGAATAAGTGACAGTATCCTGTCCATATATGTCACATTGACAGACTGGTGAAAGCCTGTTTGAACAGTATCATTATTGCTGTTATTAGGCATAGGAAATATACATCAGCAAGAAAGTGTTATTTTGGAAAGCTCAAACTTTTTTAATTTTACCATCTTTCACGTTCATTTATAGTGATCAAACAAGTTATTAAGCAACGAGTGCGATTTCATAACTTCAACATGAAATATGTTACCTAAGATTGTATATGGTAGAAGACTTAGATGGTCATCGACATAATTAATGAGTATATCGATTGCTGAAAACTGATAAGATTAGAAATAGGATGTGAAGTCCTTTTGGTGTTGTTATATGATTGCGATAGACTTAAGTGCATTCCCACGAATAATTTTAATTGTCTTTTTAATATTTATGAAATATATTAATTATATTTTCAAACTATATTAAACGTTAGTGGTAAGGACGACTGCTTCTAAATTCATTCAATCTTTATCCAGAAACTGTTAACTATTATTTTGCTAAATTTGAAAAGAATATCAGTAATTTCAGTAGCAAAAACGAGCTAAAATGAATTGACATGTTGAATAATATTAATTATAACTAATTAACACTTATTTGAACTCAGTGACATATTCTTCTTAAACTGGCATATTTCGTGACATACTTCTCCACCCTCATTTCAGTTCCCACGCACTGTACAAGGTCGTATATTGACTGTAGTATATGCTGTTGTTGGTATCCCGTTGAATGTGGCATTTATCTCAGATCTTGGAGAACTGGTATCTCGAACAGTAAAACGTGCTCTACATTGTTTTCAACGACGTATTTTAAATAAGTAATCGGATTTCACATTCTTTTAGTCTATTTGATAGTTGGATTTTTAGAGTTTCTTTTTTAGAGCAACAGAGGATCCTTGTATCGAATGTAAAAAATTCTCATTGATCGTACTGATTGCCTTCTTGTTTACTCCAGTAATCGCTGTTGTCGTCATGGTGATTTTTCGTTTTATACTTTGACACCGTTAAAACATCATTAAATTATTTAAAGTTACACATAAACTTGCGCTTATGACATATTCCACCGTGCAAGTTGATGTTTTCTTATGAATCGGTGGAATGATCGGATTTTTTTAGGAAGCAGAACGTTCACGATATTGGAACTATGTCGATTCTTTGTATTACACGTTCACGACATCTACACTTATTGGATTAGGAGATTTTACCCCACAACCATCCTATGTTCAGTTTTTCGTCTTAATGCCGCTTTTCTTCATCAGTGAAACTCTCTTTGCGCTGGCGTTTGGCTTCCTTACCGTAAGCGTTTGGCTTAAGTTCAGGTTTTTATCGAAAGTTTTTTAGCATCAGGCTGCAACAATTGTTTGTCCTTAGCAATGGTATTGGTTACTGATATTATGTTTTTTTTTTTTTTTTGCCAATATTTCATTTCTTTTTCACGTTTTCATCGAAATTATGTTCCAAAACAAACAACAACATTGTGACTCCACTGCTACTTAAAATCTAGAAATTTTTAAATTTGAGTACTGTTAGTACGTGCTAATGTGTTGCTGATAGCAATATCAGTAATTCTGTAATTGATTGCTACATCCAGGTCGAGATTTATTAACTTATTCTGGTAATGCCATTTTTAAATTCAACGGGTAGCTTAGTGCATAATGCTTGTTGTTATACTGAAATGACAGGGTTAATGTGAACGTGAATGGCCTAACGTGAATGGTTTCAGATACGACACGAATATTATACTGTAAATTGTCTTCAACGTGTATCAGTCCTTATTGATAGTCTTTTTAAACATTTTTCATTTTGATGTCAGTTTTAGCGTAAAAACGCCAAAATTTAAATTGTTAGGATACGAAGCAATAAAATATAAATACACTTGATTGAGTATTTCATACATCTAACCAGTAAAGGAAATATTTCTCGAATAGTTTAAAAAGACTTCATTTAACAGTTCAAATTATACTAAACAATGATTCAGGTATCATCAAATTGCAGCATCTATACCGGTATGAATCAGTGATAGTATATAAGCTAATTAAATGCAAAATTTCGAGATTTCTGTTGCATCGTCGTTTACAGCACATGAAAAGTACACTTCAAGAGGAAAACTTGCGAAGCTCTCAGGAACTTACTAGATTGAGTACTGGTTTAATTCAACAGAAAAGTGTTTAATTAGGCAAATTGCTAAATTCAAAAAATTTGCTTTTTCCATTTAGCTCAATTTAATTTGTCAAAACAACAACTGCTGTATAAAGCATAGTGGATAGGAAATATATATACATATATATAGCAATACAAAGCATGTTGAAGTATTTTCTTCCAATTACTTAATATATTGCATTAATTCAAAAATTTAGAGAATACAGTGAAGAATTTTTTTCTTCTATTTGATTTTCGCGCTTATTTTTGAGCTATTCATGAGGTAAAAGATTGAAATAGAATAGATCATTTAGATTGAATTTTTGTGGATTATTTCTTAGATACGGAAATCGATGGAACAAAAGCTTCTGTATCTGCCGATGCAGGTATCAATGCTGAGATCGCTGAGTTATCCACTCGTGAGATGCTCATCGATGAAAAGATCGACAGAGTTGGCCAAATTTACTTCACTTTATCGAAATTCTAGTGAACATTGGAATTTTCGTTTTGAAAATTCGGTTATGTTCAATAGAATTGAGCGTACCATTATTTCTTTTTGTTCAGGACATACAAATGCTGGAAGCAATGCCGAGCCAAATTGATCTAGGAGTACTGAATGCGCAAATGAAAAGTATAAAAATTAAGTTGTTATATGTTCCGGGATTTCTGGGATTTTTAAGTATTCCCTATTTTTGAGTTTTTTAATAGTGGTACTAAAGGTTGTTTTCGCATTCTGAATTATTACGATTCTAATACAAAGCTTTTAGCTAGAAAATGAAAAAGATTAAGTTAAAAACTTAACACTTTCAATTATCCAACTTTCATAGGTGATGATGAAGAGAAACGGAGATTGAGACATAATGTGAAGAAATGGCTGCATAATAAAGAAGATAAAGATATGAAATAATCTCACATATATTGAATTCAAAAAAAGAAAAATCCCACTGAAATGAATAATTTATTGCATATGCGGACGAACTTTACCAGACAATATTTTTTCTCCTTGTCTGTTTGTTCTTAAGATGTACCACCGAGCAAATTTGAAATTCTTTTTAATAAACATTTCCATATGCAAACTAGCCAAATGATTACAAGGGATATCACGATGTACAACAGCATGGCATTTAGTTAAGTACAATGTGGAGAAATGTCAAGATGCACGAAGAATACAAATCGTCAAGGTCAATAATCTGACCATTCTAATTCGCCTCAACATATACTAGGCCCAATTTCGAGCAGAGTTTAATGGACAATGCGCTATGTATTGCTGTTTGGACGTCATTTTAAGGGACAAGTTTTTTTTTCCGTGATCTTGACTACAGTAATCAGTAGCTAATAATCTGTGACTACAATTGGCATATGCAAAGATGAACATAAATTTTTAAATTAAAAAATTAAAGGGAAGATATGTGATGTGCATGTTAACATTAGCATAATATTATCAAATATAAAGCATTAGGAAGAATATCGTATGGTTGAAAGAGTAGCAAAAGAATCGTAGTAATTAACTTATTCTGATAGAAACAAAAAAGAGTAACATTAGTTTAAGCGACTCTTTAGGACTGATTAAATTTGTAAAAAGATTTAATTAACTTCCAACAAAAATCAAACCTCACATTAACAGTATTGTAATAATAAACTGGAAGTTAATTTGGCCTTTACATGAATATTGAGTAGTGCAATAATTGTTATTTTCAAAAGCTCTTTTTCTACAAAGGTATTTGGACTTCTTCAATATAACTTCAACCGAATTAGTGCTTTTATAATTGGGTCTGATAATTAAGCTAAATGAAGTTAAATCGATCGAAATAGCTCACATAAGCCAAAAAATACAGCAATATTAAGGTAAATTTCATTAAGGTGTACCCGCTCCAACGGAACAAATATCAATGAGCTTATTGGTTAGACATCTTCTGAATATTGTTTTTCCGAAGGTGCTCATAACAAAAGAACAAGTTTCGTGAGCCTAACCATGATGAACTGGACAAATGATCTCAAAAGGATCAAATTGTAGGGAAATGACATTATATTATATACATCGACCGATTGTTTCAGCTTCAAATTAATAAGAAAAAAAAGAGGATATATCAAGATCGCAATTTACATTCCTTTAAGGGATATCGGAACCTGAGTGGTATGCGTTCGCAGGGATCTAACAAGGATATTAACTGTGGTAACCATAAAAGTGCATGAGTCAATCCAATTACATTGACAAGCATCACCGTTTGGAAGAAGACACGTACCAAGTAAGCCGGTATTAATGGCAACGACAACATGGAGAACAAAGTAGAACTACCGGCTTGCAACACTGGCCAACCGACTATCATCAAGGATTCTCGCACCTGAAAGTATGAAAATTTTAAATTGGTTTGTGATACATCTTTCAAAATAATATTGGTTATTCAAATCTATTCTCTCAAAAAAGGATTGTTTAAGAGAAACATCAAAAAAGAAAAAAAACCAACCATACTATTTATTACCTGGACTGTAACTCTATTTTGGGACATAATTTTAAATGAATGATACCTTTTGGTGTGCAGTTTTTTGGGACGACCGATGGTACCTATAGCAAATATGTATGGAGAAGTCAACTGCTAAACCGATGGCCATTACGATGCATCCCATAGAAACCGAATCCAAATCACTACCCCAAAGCGATAAACCACCACAAACGCCCATTGAAATAGATAGCAAACTCCAAGTCATGAAAAACACCGATTGCTGAAATTCATTGCTTATGAGGCCTTGTCTATGAAATTCTCTCAACTTTTTTTTTCTTCAAATCTTCGAATGCCAGACTCTTTGGTAGTCTGAAAATAAGAAGCCCAAAACCGAAGCCAGTGTCGTATATTGCCAAATATCAAATACCACTAGTGAAATTCGTAGCGGTACTTATTTTTCATGCATTTACCTTATCAGGAAGGAAGAAGACGGACAAAATTGCCATAACAGAAATTGCCGATCCAATAGATTGCATGGAAGAAGGTGCTATACTTTTGCGCTGATCGATTAGAAACGGTGAAAAAATGCCAGCCAAAAAGATATCGAAATCAGGGTATTCTGCTATCATTGCACGCCATCGATATAGTTCATTCTGTATATACCATAACTTGACACATTAATTTCATTTTATTTCGTTCTTACTTTTTTTAGTTCTTTACTTGGCGACATCTGAATCAAATGTTTCTGTTAATTATGAAATGATTAGAGAATCATTTAAGAAAACAAATTATGAAATGATTAGAGAATCATTTTCATCGTGCTTTACAACAGTTTAACAGATTCCTAAAAGCTGTCAATCAACAGAACACCCTTGGCTCATAATTATCAACAAGACAGTTATTATAGTTAAACAGTCACTTGTTTCATTTCTTTTTATCAAACTTCTTTATAACTTACGTGTCGTTTGTCCCATGAATCAAGCCCGTAAAAACTGGTTTGAAAAGCAAAAGCTGCGATACACGGCTGTCCATTTGTCACATTGCTCTTCATTTTTACGTAAGCTTAAATTGATGAAATTTTTGCACTTATTTCAAACTTTAATTGGACCAAATTATCACTTTCATAATTAAAACATTAGTTTTCATTGAGTGTAAAACAAATCAATCAATAATGTGATGCAACATATGTGGACATTGTCGCATTGTCTTTTGAGGCCAATGAATGAGAAGTAAGGATGAGATTCTAGTAAGTCAAGAAATGATGAAATGAGTAAAACCCGCATTCTAATAAAAGAAGTGAAAAAAAAAACAAACCTCTGTACTGCTGGCTATCGGACTGATCGAAAAAATCGATCAAATATTTTTTTCGTAAAAGTTTTTGGTATAATTGATATCTGGAAAATCGTTTAAAAATCGCTGATACTCCCAGAGCCAAAAATTGGTGGATACTCGTCCAATGCTGTAAGGCGTATGTTCGAGGCGATAGATCAGTTCGTTCATCCGAGCTCGTGATTGCACGGTACGAAAATCCGGTGGATTCATCACGTGAAAAACGGGCATTACGTTATCCGCCCAAATGTATTTATCTAATGGAAATCATGCATGATTGTCTTTTCACATTAATAATTCTCAATAATACAAATATGAAATAGTGTTCTTCTACAACTGAGGGATAAAGTATTGATAAATACAACGGCGGTTGGGATGGAGTGTAATTGAAGATTTTAAAGACAATATATTATCAACTCTGTTATCGAAATCTTTCTTTTGAAATATTAAAGAGCATTACAGGATCTGGCTGATTGTGTATTTCAGCTTTTTAAATCTGTCATTCAAATTAAGCAATTCTAAAACTTCAATAATGGATTAAATTTGGAAGAAATTCAACTAACCAGCAAGATTAATAAAGGGTTGAATAGGTGAATCGTCGCGAATATACTTCCTAGGACTTATATCAACTGCAATGGATATGCAACCATAAATAGTTAATGAAGCGTAAACGAGGAAGACAATTAAGGAGATAATTCGAACATCTTTACGCAGTATGAAAGGAGCGTATATGTCACCAAACCACCGATGAATATAAGGTTCTGAAGTATAAGCATGGGTTCAGAAATTTTTACAATGATTTCACGACAAATAACTTTCCTTCTAAGTTGGATATTATATTTTACTGCAGCAGATTCGCAGTTTTGTTATTTAATTAAGTGTTTTGTTCAATTCGCAGTCATAACTGCTACAGTTGTTGATCTCAATTCGCTACAACACTGTATTTGTCAACGGATCGTTGAAGTGAAGCGTTGGCTCACGTTGTATATAGTTATTGCTTATTGCACTTTTCTTCGTTCTAAATTTATAGCAGCACGATATCAGTCCACCATCAGCTTCTTTTCGACCGCCGTAGACCATGACGGATGCATAGAATGTGATTTGAAAGAGGTAATCCATCATGATACCAATAGCCGTCAATAGACAAAAATCCGAAACGGCCGGTATCGGACAAAGAAAATAACCAAGTGCTGAACAGTTTTTCAGAATTAATAAACTTCTTTAGTCTGAAACTTTCAATGCTCTGAAACAAAGTGCATAAACTATCCAAGGTATATAATGTGTTGGTTCAGTTTTGTCACCCTTCTTCGGAGTGGAACTATAACTTCCTATGTAAGTGCTAGTAACAATTAGTTCTCCCACATATAAGGAAGTTTTTAGAGGTGATTAATAACAGTTGGAACTATAATGAAAAGATTTGCATTTCTTTTTGAAGTTTGGTTTAAACAGCCTAAAAAATTGAATATCAGATGATGTTTGTTCTTTGTCTTCGTGGTTTACTTCTTACCTAACTTTGTCCTTCACAGTAATGTCATTCGCGTACACCGCGTGAGTACTGATTAGAAAGACTTGATAGTTTTCCCATCAAGTCTAGCCAATCATATAATGAGGCATAGGTCAAAAATTTTCTTTGAAAGAAAAATTGTCTTTAATGGGAAGAAATGCCGAAAATCATGTTTCCTATTTTAATTTCTAGCCGGACACTCTCAGCAGATCATAATTGCTCCATTTATTCCACTGAAAGCAAGAAATTTACCAAAACAACCGAAATCAGTAACTGATGTTACAGTAATGGATAGGCCGGCATCACTCATTGTCAATGCCATGCGTTCCTCAATCGATAAGCGCCGATCTGTAGTACGCCAAGCGCCTAACATCAGGAATGCGTCATCAACACCTTAGTAAAATGCAAACGATTAGTAATTGGAAAAACAAAGGGATAAGTAAAGAAGTTACATAAATGGCTTTCAATTATTACCAATAGCAAGGATTAAAAATGGCATTGTACAGGAAACAGGATTGAAAGGCATCCCGAGACGAAAGAGAAGTCCGAAAGTGCAAATTAATGATAAGATGACCGATATCACTGCCAGATAACCTTCCATCGGTTTTGATCTTGAAAAAATTTTAATAAAACTAGGACAGACATGTGTAGAAATTAATAATAATAATTATGGACTTAGTTACTCATTTAAATAATTTCTACAAAACGGAATTTTAAGAATGTTTCTCTCTCCATTTCAATTCCCTGTCTGCACTCTATTTACCCTTACCCAATATGAGATTAACCGGTAATGACGAGAGCTGACGTTAGTCTCACGTTATGTCCTTCCTATCTTATTTATGAAGTATAAGTTGTATTGGTGGCTGCTTTAAACTTGTTTTGAAAACTTTAATTAAAATGGCATTATCACTATGCAGAAGCATCTTTAATGACTGGCAAAAAATATTTCGGAAATCTTTGTATTTCTTCCTTCGAGGAGAAATCCTTTGGACGAAGAATTTCATCTTCCGGTGTCATGAAGGCTGAATGGAGCACCGGACACAAGGACTCTTAATACTTCTCGGTCCATATTTACCATTCTTGTTCTCGAAGTAAACAAATGAGAATAGATGTGATATCTGAGAAGAAAATATCATTGGCCATATCAGATGGAGATAAAGCAAAAGGGATATGAACTTAGGCAACAGAAGGAATTTAAAATCGACTTGTTCTTTAAAGTTATGCTGCAAGTTCTTGTCGAGTTATAGCCAAAGAAATGATGAATAAAATTGTTACTTGATAATATCTCTGGAATAATTTGAAAGTATGACGAAAAACATCAATTGAAACGAAACAACGGCTGCAAATGGTAGCGCTGTCTCGATAATCAAAAGCAATTCATCGTTCATTGCTTTATCGCTAGAAAATTTCGATCACATTGGGATGGTCAAAAAATAATAAAAGAGGTCTTATTCTTTTATACTAACTTCTATTTTAAAGGACACTCTAGGAGACAAACGCATGAAGCAGAAATTTGTCATCAAAGGGTAATATAGGTGAATGAATAAGTCGTTAATTATAATTAGATGAGATAGCAAACACTGGATGTGGCAGTGGAAGTAAACCAATTTACTGAGTCATATTTAAGTAAAATGAGTGATTGAAAAATTAAACAACAGCTGGTAAATGGTCATTTAAAGAGAAAAAAGCACCTGAAAAGCTTACTTATGTGGAATGAATTTAAGCTTGGATTCATTCTTTTTGGAAAGCCAGAAATTATTCAGTTCATTACGAAATGCTACATAAGCTTTCTCTTTTTCAGGTGAACTCTTGAAATTGATATACCAATGCACTGTGACCACTTTTGCACTACTTATTTCACGTTTTCGACCTGTGACATTTACTCCATAAATCACCTAAAATACATTTAAAGATTTTGGTAGAACTGAAAACTCAAGTAAATATGACGTAAATGATGTACCTGACCAATATCCTTGGGTCGGTTGAACAAATACATAACCGGATACGAAAGTTGCAAATTTGGATTGGAATTAACTTTCCCGTCTCGGAAGAGTATTTCCGCTTGCTTCAACCAAACATTCAATTCATTCGAGCATTTCTGAATTGAGAAAAGAGTAATATTAATATTATATCCCATCCTTCTCTCTAGATCAGCTAAAATTAAAGAAATTCTATATCAGAGATAATAGTGATCAAACAGAACAGAAATATAAAGTTTAGTCATCAATGGATGATAGAAATTTTAAATTTGCATATCCCCGACACTGATCAGAATATCAGCAAAATTTAATGAGTACCCAACTTACTTCTTCTCCATAATGTTTCTGACAGAAATCCTCGAACCGATAGATTTTACCATTGAATTCAGCAGTGGTATTCATAATTTCGGTAGTATAACGATATATTCTGCGTAGAGTGCGTGATTCTAGCAGATTTAGGTTCTCCTCATGTACTGCATAAAAACGGATGACATCGATGCGAACCGGATCTGGAATCTCAGAAGCTGGAATGCTTATATTTCAATCGAAACAAGGAAGCAATGGCAATCTGAGAATAGGTATGTGATTGATACGGAGAGGAAAGAAGGTATTTAACCATTAGATTTCTGTGATTGTAATATGCATTGATAACGAAAAACGAAATGTGGGAAATATTTTTCAACTCTGCGGCTGCATCCTTTTGCAAAATGAAGTAAAAGCAACTGCAAGAAGGAAAATGAATTGTATAATTCGTTAAATTTGTTTGGAAATGCGTGTCATTGTTAATAAGTGATATTTTTCGCAATAATTTTTGGTGAATCTATCAGAAGCTTGAAAATAAATTAATCTTGAAGAAATAACAAACCCTTGAGAATGTCAATTTGTCGTTTAATTCGATTAGTATGTTCCAAAATGCCCAGCGGCATTTTGTTAAAAACTGTTGATCTAAATGACCGGCGGAAGTCTCAATGACCATTATTAAGTTTTCAAAACAAAAGAAACAAAAAGCAAGGAAACTCAATATGAATAAATTAATGATAAGCTGAAGCGTTTTATCGCAAAACAGGTGAAACAGCAGTAAAATAGATTAGTCCATACTTCTGCTTTACTTCTTTGTAGTTGTGATTCAAGAATGTCTCGTGATATCATTTTTTCTTTTTTTTTGAAAAGATTTGAGGACTCGTCTTTTTTTCAACCATCGAAATAATTTCAATGCCTTTTTAAAATCTCATTCCGAAAGTTGCATGAAAAAGTGGAGAAAAAGAATGAAGCGAAATTAAGAAAACCTTTCGAATTCTTGTCGTACTGGAGCATCCAATGGAACAAACAATTTGTAAAGATCCAAATTAATTTGTAAGGCTGGTAATCCTGTCATACCAATTACTGTCAACAACAGTGAACCGATTAGAAAGCGACTCGGACAGCGGCCTACTAGCAAGCCATAATAATAAAAACTTTTGATAAATATATCTTCAAATCGTTTGCTGCAACCTTCTAATTGTTTCATGCCCTGCAATTCCATTACGATGAAGGAATGAGTCATCCAGGACGAATATTTATTATCGTGATAAAAGCGTTGTTCAAAGCAGCAAGTTATGTCTAAATAAGATGAAGTCAACGTTTTCAAACATCACTTTTGCGGAGACAACAAAGTGAAACCTCACCGCCTTCCGTCAAATGATTGTAAGCTGTGTCACCTACAGATATCACTCTGAATTATCTCTGGAGAGACAAAGACAATAAAATAAAGCTTAACTTTTTTGAAAACCAAAATTTGAAAAAAAGAATTTGTATTGAAGAAATAATCAGTTTTGTATCTTCAAATGTTAATAATGACGGTGGTGAAAGAAGTTGTAATGATAGATAATTGTAGTTGTCAGAGATGATGGTAGTAATATGGTGCTGGTTCGCTCCATTGCTCGGTCAATCGGTAATAGTGATTGGATAGAGGGTGGATTGACGATTTAGGATAGAATGCATTGACGACTTTCCTGAGTTGATTTCAAAAATTTTGTCCCTTTAGAATAGTCACACCCTTTCATTTGTCCAAATTGTTGTTCAAAATTTCGTTCCTTAAAGATTGTCATTCTTCTTCTCTTCTACCACTCTTAATTACTTCACCGACGTAATATTTCCGAATCGGACATCCTGTAATTCTTTCATCGATCTTTTTTTTATCATCTTATTAAACTTACAACATTCCACCACGATATTTGTTTGCGAATATACACAGCTGGAGCCAAAGTTATGTCAACTAATCTAACCGGAAAAGGAAGTGACTGATTGCAATAAAAGGCAAAATAGACGTCTAGCTCGTTTTGTGAATCTTTTCGAAAAGATTTCAATCAAAATCATTCATTTATTCTTTTCATTTGTTCTTACTTTAATTCATCATTGTTAATAACATGCCACTAAGGTAAATCAGAATAAATAAAAGGTAATTGAGATGAACACGAACAAACGCTTCAGGATTCTTCAGGTTCTCTTTGTCATGATCCATAAAATCATTCAGATAGTGGTATTGCTGGACGTTGGAATAATCATTTATCATTTATAAAGCATAATATTTCTACATGTAGTAAAATATTTGACGCTTGATTAATTGTGGAGCTGAATTTGAGAGTCATAATTTAAAAGAAAACAATGTGAGGAAATGTATATTGTGGTATCGATATTGTTTAAGAGAAACTGCAGTTTTGAAGGAAACGAACTTTCATTTTGTTAACTATTTTTCATTTTATTAATAACTCTTCTATGTGTTATCATTTCCTACCGAATAATTCCGTTACTGAATTTTTTTTTCCTTGTAACGCTGTAATTTTGTTTAAAATCTTGGAAACAGCTGATATCACTTCACTGATAACGATGTTTTTTCCACGTCTTCCAAAACACGACTATATTTAGCTCACTTTTTGATTGAATAATTTGATACAAAATTTAAAACATAAAATCTAGAAAAAATCTCAAAAAGGTAGGCAGTATCGATGATTGTTAGACTTGTTTATTCTGATTATCACAGTAGCTTAAAACTGTATCAAAGAAAATGAAGTAGGAAATGTTTCGTTATTTCCCTCTATCGAATCCATTAATCTTACCACCCAAATTAACAGCGGGAAGAAAAAGATTCTTGGAAGCATTCATTTCATCATTCATCTGATCGCCATCAAATTCTTAAACAGAAGATCTAATTGTACGACGACAAATTGTATTCTGAAAGATGCTAATTACAGTACGCTAAGTTAAATAAATCTTCCGTATCTTTGGGTTCGATAATATTCCTTACCAAGGAATATTCGAAATTTAAAAAATACCTATACCTTGCCAAGGTTATTAAGATCTTTCCAAAGAAATGGTATTTCGGCAGTTTTTCTTTTCCTTTCTTTTATGATTACAATTCTTAATTTGTAAAGACGTGTAATGAGTTGTATTGTCAACGCTACTGCGACAATGATCACTGCACATGCCAGCATCTGCAGTAATTTAGACGGATAATTACTCCCGTATATAATCGGATACAGTGAAATGTAGACTTGTGTTATTCCCACTGCGTGATCATTAATTGGAAAAAAACAAAAATTTTATTAATTTTTTGTTGACCAATAAGGGCACGAAATTAAAAAATGGAATATTCATTGCCTTATTTCATCATTTTTTGAAATAACTTACTGTTGGATCGATCGGAATGACTGCGACATAAATATCGCTTGGCATCCCTGATACAGTAAACCTTTCTACGCAAAGAGCATCCGTCACAGACGAGTGTTTCACGTATTTAACTGATCGCAACAATGATTAACATTTCATAGGTTTTCATTTTTTATACAAAAGATCAGAAAATGTGGCAAAGTAACAATCGCCACTTCTCAACATTCAGAAAATCTGAAGTTAATATCTGAAATACAGGGAGAGAGAGAGAGAGAGAGAGAGAGAGGAGGAGGAGGAGAGAGAGTAG